AGCTATTAATTCTTTAGCTTCAGTGCATTGATATTAAATTACTGAAAACACTATGGACAATACTGGGTTATATAGTAACTTTTGCCAAACAGATCCCGCCTCATTCTTAAGAGTGTCAATCTGCAAATGAAATATGCACTTCAAAGAAAATACACTTAGAAAAATACAGTTAAGATATTTTAATCCTCTCACCAGTCACATTTGCTGCCAGGTTTCCCTTCTCTGCATGTTACAGCAGCACAGCATTCACAACTCCAAACCAGGTAAACAATACTGAAAGATTATTACTATGGTAAATAGGTTTAATTCCATAATAGGGTGCATGAGCTGCAAATCAAGACTTTCCACTCTTCAGAATCTCCATCCCTTGTGCCCAGGATGTGTAGGAAACAGCAGTTTGGACCTGATGCTTTCACTATATGAATGAATATATGAATATACTTTAATGTCCCGTTTGAGGGATATTCATCTTGGACAAGCATGACCTGGTCAGTACACAACATAAAACTCACACAAACTCAAATTAAAAGCTATAGTATACCAATAAAGCATCTCAATTGTGCAATTCTCTATTGAATAATTTAACCGCAGTTGGCACAAAATAATTTTTGTAGCGATTTGAATTGCACATCAAAGTCCTCAAACGTCTCCCTGAGGGTAACATATTCCATGTAAAGTATGTGTGTCATCTGCAAAAATGTTCTTAGCTTGTCTTAAAACAGATACCTCATACATCTCCTGTATAGGCCATTTCGTTTCCCAACCTACAATATTTAGAGCAGCATATACAAGTCGAGCAAGTTTCGATTTTGATTGGACAGTCAGGTTTCCATACCATGCTGTAATACCATTTCTTATCAAACTCTCAAAAACAGACTGATAGAACAGAAATAAAATCTTCTGATTTACCCCAAATACTTTTAACCGTCGCAAAAAAATATAACCTCTGTTGCAATCTAGAACACAGACTGTTGATGTGAGAAGACCAGCATAATGAACTGTCCCAAGTAACGAACCCAAGTATTTATATGATGAAACCTGTTCAATAATTTTTCCATGTATTATAACTATATATGTACAATAACTATATATCCATCCAACATTAATCCAACAAATTCTCTTTAAACACAATACATATTCCGTCACACTCTCACAAACTTTCATTTTCAATGATACCACTAATTTATCACATAAGGAGAATCAAAGTCATGAATTTTCATATCATGAACATTTCTAAAATTCCAAAATCATCATAAATTTGATTGCTTCAAATATGTATGTTTCATATGTGGTTTATTCTGTGATGGGAATGACTCTACAACTGTGGGGCAGTCATTATATATATATATATTCTAGAGTTGTGATATGTTATTTTTATATCTTAATTTATTGGCTGTTCCTGCAGGGCAATACAAAAACCTTTCATCCTTGAAAAAAGTAATGTTCCTATTTTATATATTATATATATATATACGATCTGATATATATATATATATATATATATATATATATATATATTCACACACACACACAAAATAAATTAAATTAGTTTATCATCATAGTTTAAAACATGTATGTAATATAGCCTATAATATATATAATTCATATTATAATTGTCCTAACTTATAAAGTCTTGGTCTGGGACAAGGATAAAACAACTATCCAACTATAGCCTATATAAAATGCATATTTGAAAAGTAGCAAAAAAAATTATGAAAGAACCTGGAAAATTTTAATCGATAATAAAAAGAAAAAATCAGATTTGTTTTTTTTTTGCTACAAAAATGAGACACGTGATCATAAATATACAGTTCATACAATTGAAGAAACGCCCATATAGTTGCTCATTTCTATGGAGAATCTTAATATAGGCTAATCTTAATATTTTAGAATAATCTAATTTTAGAATAATATACTAATCTTAATATATCGGAACACTCACCCCAGGCCGACAGATGGCGATGATGACATCGCGATTATTTTCAAACCTCAGGTTGATGATCACATCGCTCTGCGAAGAAGACAGCGGCTCAGCTTTGTTTACTTTAAAGATGAATGCTCAATTACATACATTTTCTGAAAGCACTGGCTATCTAGTTTAGAACCAGACACTAGAATGTAAGAGGAAAAAAACACACAACATGGAGGAATCGTGGGATTTTGAATTCTTGTCTCGATTGGTTGACAGTCTGGTGTCCTTTCTGTCCGAATTTGTGGACGATTGGCTGGCCAACGACATGAGAGTTGCAGTGTTTAAGATACTGTTCACCTGGCTCATCATTAGTCTCGTAGCCATCCACTTTGCCTGGAAAGTGTACGGGAACACTGTCAACGATATGTACTACAGACAGGGTGAGTATTTACAGAGGTGCTCCATTATGTTGCTCCACCTAATTAATAATAATTCCTATAAAACGACAGTTGAATACAATTTTGTGACTGTATATACATGTATTTTGCGCCCCTTAAAAGGTAGTAATTGGACTAAATATGATTGTAATAATTCTTCAGGGACTGGAGGGCAGAATGGCGGGACTCCTGACACTGCGCCTCACCTGAGCGGATGGTAAGAATTAAGGGTCCCACTTTATATTAAGTGCCCCTAATACCTGTGTCTTACATAGTAACTAGATGTGTACGTAGTATGTAACCACAGTGTAAGTACACATTGGTACATAGTATCTACAGCTCTAATGTTTGTGTAAGTACACATATGTAACAACCCACTGAATGGTATGTGTAAGTACAAATGTGTAACAGGACATTGGTAACAACACGTTTTGGTAATGAAAGTACAAATGTGTAACAGGACTAACAGCACTTTTTGGTAAAGAAAGTGTTACACTTTATATTAGATTTATCATGTAATTACTCTGATGTTACACAGCAGCGGCCAGTAAGTTAGGCTTTACATATAAATTGTGGTTGGTGTCCAGAATGTTACACTTTATATTAAGTGGACAGTTCCTGAGGAGTTACCATGTAAGTACACTGGTATTACAGTGGTGCACCAACTCCAACTCGACATCCAACTCCTCCCACTTTACATATCCGTTAACCTACCCATCTCCACCCCCTGGATCCCATTTCCACCCCTAAACCTACCCATCTCCACCCCCTGGATCAAATGGTTCCAATTACTCTTATACATGTTGTTACAAAATGTAGTTATATAATTCCTGTTACACGAGTACTTAGTGAAGTGAAAAAAAGTGTTGTTACCAATGTCCTGTTACACATTTGTACTTACACAAACCATCCTAAAGGGGTTGTTATATGTGTGTAGTTACAGAAATATTACAGCTGTAGATACTATGTACCAATGTGTACTTACACTGTGGTTACATACTATGTACACATGTAGTTACTATGCAAGTACACAGGTATTAGGGACACTTAATATAAAGTGGGACCAAATTAAGTAACCAGCCTTTCTAGTGTTCATGAACGATTCGTTCATTTTAAGTCTGTCACGTGACAAATGAACAAAAGACTTGGAATTTAATTTATCGTTGCTTACTGATTTCCTCATTCTAATTCTGAATATGGCCAAATAATGCATGTGTGGACGAGTTCTGGGAATTTGGCTATTGAAAAAAATATTTAACGAGTCGGATGCTTCTGAACAATTCACTGACGAATAGAATCATTCTGAGCACTCCTCGAGAAAACAAGTCACTTGTGCATTTTGTAATAAGCCAGTGTCCTGAACATATATGCTACTTATCAGTATATGATGCCAGCGCTATATTTGCATGGTTTTAGGAGCTTGGTGAAGTCTGCTGTTATACCACATCATATGAATGTTATGCTGGTAGGCAGAACATTCTGAAGAGTTTTTCCCGCTGACAAGTACCTACATTTTTAACATCTCACACTATGGTACTATATCTGACGGCTTCTCTTGTGCCTCACAACACATGCTACCCATTTTAGCTTAAAATATGACTGTTTTACCTGCAGGTAGCACATGTTGAGCAGGTAGTACAAAATTTCAGAATACCGGGAACCGTTGAGTGAGATCATAGCATTTGAAGTGTACAGAGGATAGACAGAAACATGCTTTAATTCAAATGTAATAAATAGCACTATTAATAAAACATTATTGAAAAAAGTGGCATGAAATTCTAAACACATCAGTATTTGGTTTTAAAGGTAATTTATGCATACCCCTGTTGTAAATGCTGTTCCATTGTCAAGTCTAATATTTTCCATTTTCCTAGGGAAAGTGCAGCTGGTGATGCCATGAAAACCCACCGTGAGTGATGTACCTGCAACTGGACTAAGATCACAGACACATAAGATGGAGAAAGGCAATTACATTCCTTCAAGAAGACTAAATAATCATAACTTGTGCCAGTGAATCAGTTTTACTTGTGAAGATGTCTGTGATGAACTGTGGTGCAAAACTCAAGGTCCAAACACATGAATATATGCTCTAAAATATCTGACAGAATGGTGCTGTGCACAGTAAAGAAAGCATTAAAGGAGCATGCTGTGATATATAGCAGCTCTGATTTTTTTTTAGAATGCTTTAATTTATTTGAATTGAATTGGAAGCTAGTAGATAGCTAAACTTGAACCATTCTCACACAGTATCATATGACTAAAAAAAACTGACAGGAATACTACTCAAAATGAAGGTCCCAAATGTTCACATAGTCATCTGGTCTGTATGTAGAAATCAAACATTTCATTTCAGTGATGTAAGAAAATAGACTTGACTGTACAGAGATAAAAAGACATGATAAAAAGTGTGCCTCTACCATGCTTTCAGTCCAAGAGGTTACTGCTGTCTTTTTGCAGTGCAAATAATAAATACAATTTGTATCTGATTGTGTATTAGTTTTCTGTTATTTATTTCATAAGTAAATTGTATTACAGTCAGTGTATAACAATGCACATTGAAAAGCACCTTACTTTGGTTCAGGACCAAGCAGGAGTCATCCATGACAATAAAAAAAACCATTAGTGGTTAAAATAAGTTATATTATGAAAAAATCTTAAAAAGTGAACCACCTTAGTGAAAAAAATATCCCTCCATAATTTTGTTGCTTCCAAACACAAAACAACCTGGAGTCAAATTATTGGAAGTCTCTTTGGGGTGATGGTGGCAGCAGCATAGCATGCACATCCATCACATTGGTTCCTGTCAGTCCAGGCATGAGTAACCGTCGTCCTTCAGTGAGCTGTGAGAAAAATGTGAACGAATCATTATTGGTGAGAAAGCCATAGATGTCCAGACCTTGAGACATGGCCTCTTTCATCAATTCCCCGTCAGTGACGGCACCAGCTGCCTCAGTGGGGCCATCCTGTCCATCGGTTCCTCCACTGAGGAACACCGCACCACTCTTTACTTCATCACTACTGAGCTCAAGCCCCACCCGCAGAGCCAACTCCTGGTTCCTCCCTCCCCTGCCCTTTCCTGTCAGTTGCACAGTGGGTTCCCCTCCAGCCAGAAGACAGGTCGCACCCCAGCCTTCCTTCCTCTCCTCTACGAGCACGTTCATGGTGCGACACAAGTCCCAGCTTTCTACCCCAACCTCTGGTCCAAGCTGAAGGATCTCTGCAGCGAGTTCTGGAGGAGTTTCCTTTTCTGGGGAACACGCAAAACGTGAGAGCAGCCCGTATAGTCGTGCAACAGAGCAAACGTCACCACATACTCCTGGAGACAGAATGACGGGTCGAAGTCCTAATTCAACAGCCTTACGGCTGGCACATTCAAGAGCAATAGTGTTTGAGCCAATTACGACGTTTAAAACATGGTCTTGGACTTCTTCTTGCTGTTCTTGCACCTGCAACCCATAATGGGGTCTAGCTTTACTAAGCACCTCATTCATGGAGGAAGGAAGAGAGTAAGAGAGCTTATAACGATCCAAGATAGCCCAGACCTCCTCTGGCTTGAAGTCACTCCTGACTGTTGGACCGCTGGCTATCAAATCCAGAGGATCTCCAATAACATCTGACAGAATCAATGCCACTACCTTAAGGAGAATGTGGTGTCAAAGTAAAAATTATGCTCAACTAACATCATGGAGTATTGCTCAAAAAAGTGTGCTGCATGTTTTCTTTTGGTTATGTAATAGTGTTACCTGGGCTGGGTTGGCACATTGGGCAAGACCTCCACCCTTCAACAATGACAGGGCTCGCCTTACTGTATTTAACTCCTGAATAGTGGCCCCTGCTGCTGCAAGTTTTCGTGTCACATCCTGTTTCTCCTGCAAGGACATGGGTGGGGCTGGAGCAGGTAAAAGAGCAGAACCACCACCTGTACATAGATGAATATAAAGAAAAAACATGAACATTTCAAGATCTTTCAGAAAATACACCACATTTAAAATGTTTTGGGTCAGTATGTTTTTTTTTAAACAAAGTAATATTTTATTCAGTAAAGATTGATTAAATTGGTCAAAAGTGAAAACAAAGACATTTATAATGTTACAAAAGATTTTTTTCATTTCAAATAAATAAATAAATCTTTATTTGATTAAATAAATCTGTTCATCAAAGAATCCTAAAAAAAAATGTATCACTGTTTCCACACAAATATTAAGCCGTTTTTAACATTGATCATTTTTCTTGAGTGCCAAATTACAATGATTAGAATTAGAATTAGAAAACTGATTCTATATGAAGAAAATAAGTTAAGAGTACCAGAGATGAGCACGAGCAGCAGATCTTTCTCAGTCAGACCACTGGCCAGTTCTCGAATACACTCTGCTGACTTCTGGGCATCTGCATCCGGTAAATTGTTCTTTGCTCCTTCCATCACTGTAATTCTGCTGTTATTCTCAAGGAGCATCTTCCTGTCCGGACATACAAACGAGATTTTCAGTAACATCCAGACTGTACTGTGTGCAGCCAAATACAAGCTGAAAACTGAAGCCAGTTTGACGTCAGGGCTACATGACTATATATTATATTTTGCATGAAACCTATTTGCAGGATCAATTCATTTTTCTTGCATTGTGATATTTTCATGGCAATTAAACAATTCCACCCCTAATTCTTATGCAAAAATAAATAAATAAAATTAATAAAATGAATGAATGAATGAATGAACAAATAGTACAATAATAGTAAAGAAAATATTCTGGATTTTTTATTTAAATCAGCATAAAGTAGGTAAACCAAATACTTAAAACTGTACAATTTAAATAATAAATCATTAATTAATAATAAACCAATTTCTTGTCACATTACAGTATCATTACAGTAGTGTACTCTTACTACATTTTTTGGGCAACCACTGACCAACTAGTGAAAATCCCAGATTATTTCTGTATAAATTGCTCATTAAACAGAAGCACATTAACATATATAATGTAAAAAAGCACTAAAATACTTACTCTTTTCCATGATTGTGTAGTGTTTTCTGGATACCATGAGGCACACTGACCACCCCTTTAATTAGATTGTCTCCTACAAGCCTCTCCGCTTCTGCTGCCATCCCCAGCACAGCCTTTCCAAAGCCCACCAGATAAAGGTTATTGGTAAGTGTGAAACTCTGTCCATTTACAAGTAGTTTGTCTCCATGTCGCTCCAGACTCCTGCGGACCACTATGTCCGGCTGCACACCTTCAACCGCTGCAGAAAACACAGCCCGGGCTCGAGTGTCTAATGACGACATACTGCGAGAGCACAATGATGCTAAGCTCACCCGCAGTGGGTGCTGCAGGTGAAAAAAACGTGAGAGAGCCATAAACCAATCAAACTATCCACATCAGATGAAGAGAACCACTTAATACCTGAGGGGATAAAGAGATATAAAACAGACAGATTAGTATCACTAAATATAATTGAAAAATATAATTGACCAACAAATGTCTTATGTTTGAATTTTAAGAAACCAGTAATTAAAGTGTTCCTTACATCAGTATAACACACTGACAAAACAGCATGAAAATTACAGCTTTCAAATTCACTCTGGTGATGTCTAAACATCTTCATCTTATATGCTAGAAAGCATTTTTCTGATATGAACAGCTGCAGATATTACCAAAATCTGTAACCCCCCTTATTTCACACACAATTACTTTAATGTTACCCAAATTCACTCTGGTGATGTCAAATCTCCTTTGTTTTAAACCTCAAAAAGCATTTTGGTCTGATGTGAACAGATGTAGATATACAGCAGGGTCACCAAATCTGACAAGGTAACATTAGAGGTTACCGAAATACGTTACTCCCACTATTTCACTCACAATTGTGCATTGCCATGGATTTGGCGACTCTAAAATATTTTCTAAAATATTTCATATTTTCAGTGACCCAAAAATATTTAATGTTTTCAAAATTTACTCAAAATACTGGTACATTTTGGGACTGAGGCAAACAACTTCTGATAATTTCCCAAGCTGGGAAGGTAGGACAGTAATTAACTGATGCAGATGATCTCAAAATATTGACTAATTATATCATAAAATGTGTGCTATATTGCGTTATATTGTTATATTTTGTATTGTGTTATTATTTGACATTTCCTTTATATTATTTATCATATTTATTGAATATTACAATCAGAAATAATGTAACTTGGGCTGCATAGGCTATGCAGATTAAAATGCTTAAAGTTAAAAAAAAAAGGCTGAAAAAAAGCTTATAAGACAGCCACAACTAAATGACCAATTGTAGTCAACTAGAAACAAAGTGAAAACATAATACTTTCTATCACAATATCAGTGTCCTTGAGATCCCTTTTCAAACACCATCCTTACACAGCCTTCATTGAGTTTATGAGAACGTACCTGCACACTGTTCCTGACAATTCTGAAGCTCTTTTAAGAGCTGACAAAATCATTAGAGAACTGCTTATACACTAGAGCCTGTGTACTGAGTGAGTAATGATTGACTACAGTAGGGCAGAGAGAAGTTTTCGAGCTAGCCAGTTACAAGATGTGTGTGGATTCATCAAGAGTTCATCCCAAAACAGTAGGAGGAGGTGCCACAATAGCCTTGTGACACTTAAGTTAAAGTCCAGTAATAGGCTGGTCAGTGTTTACACGTCTCTGGAGCACCACCCTTGCAGAATGCATTGAAAACACACACACATTTCCACACAAAGGATTATTTTACCACAATTTTTCCTCCATACTCCAACATCTGGTCACTTCAGACATAGAAAACAACATAAAAGTCTAAATAACGTCTTAGCGTCATTTTAATTTGTTTATCAGTCATGTCAGGTTTACACATTCATAATTCTAACGCCCCCTTACTCTGCTTGTTGTGAACAAGATTGACTCACATGACGAAAGTCCCCCCTCTCGATCAACAGGGAAATAGACCATAGTTCACGAACAAAGACTGTAAAAAACATGCCAGTGCCACTCCATCTGTGAATGAATCTTTTAAATGAACGAATCGTCTAAAGCCACGACTCGTTCAGTGAAGTTGGCGAGTTCGTTCGGTAAAGTCTAACCAATGAAAGGCTCCTTCACAGCCTACACTCGAATGCTATTGGCTGGAACTATAGTCAATGCAGGAAAACGAGTCAGTAGAGATCAGGAACGATTCGTTCGCTTTAAAGATTCATTCACGAACAAACACGATAACAAAGTGACGTTTATTCTGCAGATGCGAAATTATCAACAGAATAGTTAATTTACCGTATTTTACACGAACACATTTATTATCACGTAGGAACTTTAACTTATTTTGTTTATGATTGACAGTGCACATCGTCTATGTTTAACAGTGCGCCTGCGACAAGTGGCCATCTATTACATTAATAGAAAGTTGGAAATTCGAGTTGAATGAAAATCAACATATATGCTACTTTAGCACTACAACGTTAATTTGCTTTGTGTAAAAAGACTGTTCTAAATAAGCAATGACGTATTTTCTTCAAAAGGTGGCAGTATTCAATAAGTCAGCTAATACAAACCGAAAACTATGACAACATGCATTTGTAACATTCGCAACGCGTGAAATTGCACACTAAAGTATGTACAAATTTAGTCATACTTCACAGTTAACGTTAGCCTATTTTTTGTCACCAAAACTACGGAGGTGACAGCGTCATACTGTGTATGACATCATTCTTCCTGTTAATCAGTGTCTCCCAGCTCCATCTGTTACTCACACCCATGGGGAGAAGAGTACAGTACAACATCACAAGCCCTCATTTACAAGTACCAAACAACTTAACAATCATTTTCATTGTGCAGGAAATGGGTAAGTGGAATGTGTCCATTTTCATGACTAAAAACCTGCATTCTAGTTCATTGTCTTTCTATATCTCAAATTTTCATGGACGATCCAGGGAACATATGAAGAATTAATTTGCAAAAACTGATAACTCCGTTTTTATATTTTTCAGAAATCACGTTTTATTTATTGCGCATTCCAAGTAATATCAATCAAACTGCAGTTGGGTTATTTTGATTAAGTAATAATAACTTAAACAAATACAGGTAATTTACAAAATCAAAGTCCCCATTCAATCAAAATTAAAGTTTTTTGGGTGTTAGTATCAATATGTTTTGAGATGAAGCAGCAGGCATTAAACGGATGAGAAGGGTTGTGTTTTCACTGATCAGGTGAGCTGCCTGATGGTGTAACTGAGTTGTGGGCAATGAGTCTCTAGCTGTGTCTCATTTAGAAGGCTGCGCCCTCCGGAGGTCGCATCCTCTGCAGGTCGCATCCTCTGTAGGATGCATATACGAAGTGTCCTCAACCAAGGATTAAACGAGAAGGCCTTCTTAGGACAGGCGGAAAAGGAAACAGGAAGTATCATGTTGCTATGCCAACACATTTAGAGCATTGTTGCGCGCTCATACTACTTAAATGAAGGAAAATTATTTCTAAGTTTGGAAAGTAATTTGAAAAAAAAAATGCTTTTGTTTTATTTTGTTCAATGTTTGAGGAGCTGCAGCGTACGTACAGCAGACATCTGTTAGAGAAAAAAAGTTTATCCGTTTTTACCGAGGTGATTTAAGGTAAGTTGTAAACAGAACACCATATCTGCGCTTGTGTGTACATCTGCCGGCGCCGGCATTTTTCAAATTAACAACGGTTGTTTACGGCGACGCAAAGAATTGTGGGTTATCTGTAGCAGCGAAGGATACACCATACATACACACCTCATGCATCCTCCGAATTCCTGTGGAAGAAGGTCGCATTCTTCTTCTTCTTCTTTTGGTTTTATGGCGGGTTGCGAACCAACTCCATAGGTGCATACCGCCACCTACTGTGATGGAGTGTGAAGAGAATGTACTCACCTAAATCTTAAATTCTGTTCATTATTCCACAATTCTTAAGAAATCTCATGACTGCACTTATTTGTTTTCCTGCATTTGGACCATCATTCAGAATACTACTTAATGAAAATTCTTTAACTCCTAAGGATTGTAATTCATCTTTAAGTCGATCCCTTTCTCTTTCATATGCTGTACATACCATCATAACGTGTTCCACTGATTCCTCTGTTAAACAAACATTACATAGACCAGTATTATGTTTCCCTATAATGTATAGTGTTTGGTTAAGATTTGAATGTCCTGTTCGTATATGTGTTAAAATGACTTGTTCCCTTCTACTTATGTTATGAATGATTTTTCTTCTCTTTATACTCCTTTGTACTTTGTGATAATGCCTACCTGTTTGACATGAGTCCCAGTATATCTGCCATACAATATTGCATGCATTTAATATTAACTGTTTCCCTTCTATTCTGCTGAGTGCAATATTTATACTTGGATCATCCATATTTAAGGATTCTTTAGCCATTTTATCTACCTCTTCATTACCTTGAATTCCCACATGTGCAGGTACCCATATAAACCGAGTAATTATCCCTATCTGTTTAATACTATATAGTGTAATCATGATTTCTATTAAAATGTCTTTTCTATTTGATTGCCATGATTGTAAACTCATAAGAGCTGCCATTGAGTCAGAGCATATTATTACTTTATCCGGTCTTACTTCATATACCCACTCTAATGCCATAAGGATAGCTACCATCTCTGCTGTATATACAGAAGTACCATCCGTAATTCTTCCAGCCTTCCTAACCTGAAATTCTGGAATGCAAAATGCAGCACCTGTCCTTCCAGTCTCTATGTTCTTTGATCCATCTGTGTAAATTTGGAGAAATGAATAATGCATACTTTTTATATATTCTTTAACATACGCTTTTAAATTAAACCCCTCCCCCATTCCCTTAATTTATTTATGTACATTTAAGTCAACTTCCGGTTGTTCTAATAACCAAGGTGCTATTGGAGGAATTACTATTACCGATGCAAATTTATTTGATTCTATTCCAGTTTCATTGATCAATTTCTTAATTTTCCATGCAAATCCTTTACCTGGTTTATTTACTGTTTCCCAACTTTCATTAAGTACTTCTCTTACAGGATGATCCTCTCTTTGGCCCTGAAGATTAATCCAATATGCCATGGCTAGTTTTTCTCTTCTTAAATGTAGAGGCATTTCTGAGGACTCCACCTGTATTGCTGCAATTGGTGTCGTCTTAACTGCTCCTAGAACCAATCTTAGTGCTTTAGCTTGCATAATATCTAGTTTCTTTAATAACGTTACAGATGCAGATTCATACACAATACATCCATAATCAAGAACTGATCTCATGAGTCCAATATATATAAACTTTAATGATTGCTTATCTGCACCCCAATCTTGTCCTGCAACCCCTCTCATTAAATGTAATACTTTACTACATTTCTTTATAATATAATCAATGTGAACTTTCCAAGTTAATTTATCATCAAACCACATTCCCAAATATTTAAAATTAGATACTTTTACTAATGCAGACCCATAAAGTTTAAGCTGCTTTAAGTTTAAGCTTTCCTCCTGGTAAATATCTGGTAATATGTTTTGGATAATGAAAATTTGAACCCCCATTCTAAAGACCACCTTTCTACTATCTCTATTGCTTCTTGAATTCTATCCAAATTAAAAGATACATTTCTTCCTCTTTTCCACATTATTCCATCATCAGCATATAAAGCCGTATTAATTCCTGGAGGCACTTCTTCAAATACATCATTAATCATAATGTTAAATAATAAAGGGCTTATCACACTCCCTTGAGGTGTCCCATTCTCCACACTCACTATCTGTGACAATTCATTTCCCACCCGAACCTGAATTGTTCTATCTAATAAAAAACTTAAAACCCAGTTATAAATTCTTCCTTCAATTCCAATTTTTCCCAATTTTAGTAGTAAACCTTCTTTCCACATCATGTCATATGCCTTTTCAATATCAAAATACACTGCTACTAAACCCTCTTTCATTATTATAGCTTTCTTGACATCTGTCTCCAGCTTTATTAATGCATCCAATGTTGAACGACCTTGTCTAAAACCATATTGATAAGGTGCCAACCCTCCCTTACTCTCTAATACATGATTCATCCTATTTACAATCATTTTTTCCATTATTTTACAAAAATTAGACGTAAGTGCTATTGGCCTGTAATTCCCAGCTATTGATGCATCTTTTCCTGGCTTAGCTACTGGTATTATTATTGCATGTTTCCATGATCTTGGTATCCTCCCCTCTATCCATATCTTATTAAATAACTCCAGTACTACTTTAAGAATACTATCATCTGCATGTTTGATCATATTATAACATATTTTATCTTTTCCTGGAGCTGATTCCCTAAATTGACATAATATTCTTCTAAGTTCCCATATTTCAAAATCAGCATCTAATACTCCTGTCCCATCAGGTTTTCTATTATAAATACATTGATGTTGCATTAAAATGTCCTGTCTTTTCC